TATATATAATATTATAATAATATCAAAAATAAAACTGGTTTGGAACAACACAAACTATTCATTTCCTCATTATTTTGTGTATTAGCTTTTGAAATTTGTATTTAAATATTCAAACATACTTATCAATATTGAAATATATTGACTATAATTTGAAGTCATGGTGTTCAGTGATTGGTTCAGATTTAAAATATCATGTACTGAATGCTGATATGTGGTCATTACAGATGACAGTTCCAGAGATTTGGTCAATGAACTTATCCATCATTCCTTTATCAGTGAGGTGAGACTAAAAAGCACACCGATTCACACTACATACTGCAAATGTCCTATTTTCACTATGTTCATCATCTCAAAGCATATCAGTATCATTTCTTGCATGTGACATGAAATCACATGGAAGCAGCAGCTACAGCTAAATGTTCACTTGTTGTTCAACTTCTTGTCCTGTGCCCATATTTTGCCATCAATTTCCACAGGAGGATGGTGACAAGATCGTGGCGTTCCTGGAGGAAGCTTTGAACCGACACCGTGGGTCTGCTAGTGCCATAACAACCATATGAATGACAATGGTCTGTTGCGATGGCGATGGCGATGGACATTTACATGCCAGTGGAACCTGAGAGGGAGGCCCGCCAACAGAAGGAGAAGGACAATGGAAACGAACAATCCAGTTTGTCAGTTAGTATGGATTATTGAAATTGTGGTCAAAAAAGATGACAGAATATGGCATACTGGTTTTATGACAGCATGTGATTGACCAGGTTAGGGGGCACCAGAAATGCCGATCTAAGATGATTGTGCTACCCTCCCCGAGTCTCCATCCAGCACTTCCAGGTGTCACTGTAGGAACCGTCCTTCCCACAATCCCATTGGATGCTTAAGGGCAATTCGTCCTCTTTTGAAGAAAGTCGTATGTGGTGTAGGTAGGAGGTGTCTGCTGTGGAGAGCTCAGTAGATGAAAAAAACGTTTAGAAAAAAATAATTTGTTACAGTTCATTATTGCCAATCTTCTTCATTTTGTGACGTAAACACAGAAAAACTATTGTTAGGCCAGAAACATACTCTACGCAAGTATGCTAATACAGATGCCAACACATTGCAAGTGCATGTGCGTTTTTATGTTACTGTGGTGTTAAAAAACCTCAGTACTTGACGATAGAGTTGCACTATATATGCCATTAAACCAGCTATAAACATCAGAAGTTAAGCTTAACAAGTTTTCTCTTCAAACTGTTGCTCTGCCATAAAAACAGTTTACACTAATGCTAATGCTCCGATAGTGTCAACGCTAAGAATGCAATGTCTATTTGTCTTATGAATTGTGTTCGGCCAGGTTTTTTTTAAATCAGAGGTAGTATAGCTAGAAGCATCAACATTGACTTACTTGCGTAGATAATGTTACTGTCCTGAGGAAATAATAAACTTAGCATTAATATGGCATGATTGGATTGAAGGGTCAATTAGAATGTACATTTTCTGGAGAGTTACCTGTCTTTTAGCTTGTCAGTTTCCCCAAAATGCTATCTTCCAAATATATCTTACGAAAGAAGTTGCTTTAAGGCCAATTAAATGAATGTGATTGTAATGCAGTCCACACATTGCCCTGTCAGCTATCATGACTCATGAGAATGTCTTAATATGCAGTTGGAGTGTTTTGCATATACAGGAATGTATTGCCTTATATAAACATTGCCGTTTGCTGGTGTCTAATAACACTAATTGAAAATAATTTCAAAGAACCACACATTTTATAGATTGCACATGTAAGAAACGTGAAGGATCCTGGTTAGTCAACCAGCTAACCAGCTGCCAAACTACATGGTTTTGGTGGTGACTTTTGTAGAATGCATAAAGATGTATACATTTCTGTGGGATACACTAAGAAGTTCTTTGTCATGAGCATTTACTTAACTGAATAAAGTTAAACTATCTCTATTAAAATGACTGAATTTATTTTCACAATTTTCTAAAACGTTATCACTTTTTTTGTCCTGTGACGTGAACAAACTACAAATTCCATGTAGTTTTATGGTCTCATAAAGGGATTCATAATTATTAATACGCAAAGGTTTGAAATATTTTAAATGGAGTATGGAATGGGTAAACAACCCTATCTAGCGACGCATTGCGATTATTTTTTTTAACGACTCATCTGAATCGATTCCGTGGGCTGCGGCTACGTGTGCACGGGTAGGTACTGTGCCATATTCTGTTTGTTACTAATTCTCCACAAAAAAATCTCGAGCATCTAAAGTATCTAAACTCCCACGAAATTCGGAAACAGCGAATCGAATTACTAGGGAAATAGCTTGTTTCGTTGTATAAGATTTGCCTCACTACGCCGCCGTGAAAAATGCGGGCTTTCGCTTGACGCGTGCAGTGCGTGTTTTGATTCTACACTGACAACAAAGCTCAAGACTCGGAATCACTCACTGAACAAAGCGTAAAGGATGGTTGTTATAAACTAAATCGAGGATGTCCACTATTAATTAGTACGGTAAGTGACCTCGCGTGTTGCCTTTTCGTTTTTCCAAACTCGCAGGGTTGCCAGGTTTTTCACAACACCCAATTGCTACTCAAAAGTCACTAACGTTAACGTTAGCCTAATGGCGCTTCGAGGGGGGTAAAATACACGTTTTTTTTGGCGAGGTTACCCTGGTAAAATCGAATTGCAGGAGCTAAATATCAAGTTATTGGGGTCGCTTCAATCCGCTTTACACCAAATACACAAAATAATGTTCTTTTTAGCAGCATCATATGACCCCTTTAAAGTAGCCCAATTCCGCTGGAAAACCGCTGACTTGGCAACACTTCGTCTGTCACCAGGCAGATTCGATAAGAGATTCGATTGGAACTGGATCTCTTGAGTCGGTTCCTAAAGAATCCCACTCTTATTATAAGCAAATAAAGTTTCACCACAGGTTAACCCCCAATTTTCGTCCAGGACTGGTCAATGACATTTTTAGTACTATTCTTTTTCTTGATATAAACTGTTTTTGTTTTCTTTTTATTTTATAATCCACTGAAACATGAAGTTTTCTATAAAATGTCTGCTTCACCACTGATATGTTTTTGTGTTATTAACCTGTTTCACTTCCTCTCACAGCATCTGTGGTTGATCCCAGCAGGTTCTTGAAGAAGGTTTTGGTACGGGTCTTTATTACTGTGTGAATCTATGACCACGTAAGTCACTGAAGCAATAATACTCTCCACTGTCTTCATTCTGGGCTCCATTGATGACCAGCTGGAAATTTTTATTTATTCCATTTCCACTAAATCGAGATGGGATGGAAGAATATCGGATATGTCCATGATAGATGAGGAGTTTAGGAGCATCTCCCGGTTTCTTGAGGTACCATCTAAGACAATATTTACTATTACACCAGTTACCAACATCAAGACTGGTTTGACATGTTATTGTAACTGATTGTCCTGATTCAACAGTCTTCTTCGAAGGATTTTGAGTCACTCTCGCTTGATTGGAGTCTGTTAATGATAATACAATTATTTAGACACAAAGAAAATAGTTTTTTTTTTAAATATAACAAAGAAAAGTAGAGATTAAAGTTGAAAGTTACCTTGACCAGAAAGAGTCAGTGACAAAAAAGATGATGAGAAAAATTAAAAATGCCATTTTTTTGGTGGTTTGATTATTATAAAAGCAGGTCATAGTTATGAGGTTAAAGTCACAGGATTATATAGCTGACAGTATCGCTCTGCTGAAATGACTATGCAAATTGTGCTGTTCGCATGAAAATAATCTTCACTTGAACACCAGAATTGTGCCATTAAAGTTGATGTATATTTCTAACTAAATATAAAGAAACTAAAAATAAAAGTCTATGTATTATGATATTTTACTAACTTGTTTTAACAGTGCACAGTATCAGGCCAAGAAATAATAGTATGAAGGATAATTAAGGCCAAAAAGAGATTTGCTCCTAATGCAACAGTATTGACCTATGATCATAGTTTATTTTGTACATCCTATAAAATTCAAATAATTCAAGTTGTATTATATAAGCATAAAATTATTTGGGTGTAATTTCATGTGTAACAGGTTTCTGTATATAGTATGTAACAGAACTTTAAATCTCATAGTTTGATTAAGCAAGTCAAACGTGGTATACATTAAAAAAAAAAAATACACTTTTAAAACATTTTTAAAAATATATGACAAAATGACATTAAAATAAGTTAAAAATAAATAAAGCAAATAAAAGTAGTTTTATAATTTTTTTTGTACTGTTGCTGTTCAGTAATCTAGTATTATTTTACAATTATATTAATATTTGTAATTAATATCATTTTAATTTTAATGTAAGAATATTTTATATGATATTATATTTTATAAGACAAATGGGCCAGGATTTAGCATGACAATTAAATAGATTTTGCTTCATTTATTGTAAGTAAATAAATGGTGTTGTCATAATGGTCTTAATTGCTTTTAAAAGTAAAATGTCTATTTTTTAGCATTTTGTTTAAATGTTTTCTTGTCCTAAATATAATTTAAAAAAAGGATGGTAGAGTAAATGAAATGTTATTAAAAAACATTTATACAGTCTTCTATCACGGAGAACAACAGCTCAGTTCAAAAGTATTAAAAATAACATTATAAATAGTTAAATAGCACTGAAAACTTGATCTGTAATATGAACAAGATTCGCTAATGCATAATCTAGATTTAATCTCAGCTTCACTGGCACATTAAATTAATAAAAGTCTAAAACTATGTAAAATAAACTTTAAACTAAATCCTAAATTGTACTATAACCAGTCAGTGTGTCGTTGTGCTGTTTCACTTCCTTCCCATCAGCACCTGTGGTGTGTAGCAGTGCAGTCAGTGTGAATGAGACTGAGGGAGGTTTTTGTACGACCCTTTATCACTGTGTGAACACATACTTGTTGTCAATCTTGTGTCGGGTCATACAGTAATATTGTGCTTCGTCTTCTTTATGGACTCCACTGATGGTCAGATTGAAGTCAGTGTGAGCGCCATTGCCGCTGAATCTAGATGGGATGTTTGAGTGGCGTTCGCGTATGAGATAAATGAGGAGTTTGGGAGTGTGTCCAGGTTTGTGCTGGTACCAGAACACACAGTTCCTCCAGAGACTACAGTCAGCAACAGGTGAGTTGGTTTTGCAGTTTATTTTGACCGTTTCATCACGTTGAGAAGTTAGAACTTGAGGGGTTTGAGTTACTGTCACTTGTCCATTTGAGCCTGTAAAATAAATAGTTAGAAATCTCTTCATCATGTCTGATTAAAAATATAAAGCATTGCTTATTTGACCTACCGTGAATACCAATGGCCAGTATGCAGATGGGAATGATGGAAAACATAGCTGTTGTTAGCTCTACTGTCATTAAATGTTGCTCTTGTATGAAACCCTAAACTGGCAAGGTTATAAAGAGCAGTTAAGGTTAAAGTTCTGTTAATGCAAATGATCTTGTCAGTGTAAATATTCTGCTTACGTTGGGTGGTATTGGATATGTTTCCATGCGGAAAAAGTTCAATGATTCCTATTAGAGTAGATATCTCACAACCTCCTCTAAATGATATAAATTAAAGTGTATCATAAAGGTGAAAGATTTCTGAGTAAAAAGTAAAAATTTTGCAGGGAGGGACTGAAAGTCCTAGTTACATAAACATAGCCACTATTTATTAAGAACTAGTTTGACCAACTAGCAGTCTTTTTGGATTCAAATTAGACTAATCTACCTTTTTGTAACTGACTTCTGAAATTTATGACAAGTTTTGAAGAAAAAGAAAAAAGAGGATCCTGTGCTCTCTTCAATCCACATGCAACATGATTTCAAGTCATCAATAAATTCTTCCAAAAAAAAGTAAAAGCTCAATACTTGAAATTAATTTACTCATTCATTTAGACAGTGCAAAAAAATAAAAATAAAATAAAAAAATATATATATATATTTGTGCTGTCAAACGATTAATCGCATCCAAAATAAGTTTTTGTTTGCATAATATATGTGTGTGTACTATGTATATTAATTATGTATATATAAATGCATGTATATATTTCAGAAAAATGTTATTTTTATACATTAAACATTTATTTATCATATAAATTAAATGAATATAAATATGTATATTTTCAAAATATGTACTGTGTATTTATATATACACAATAAATATACACAGAACATACACATATATTATGCAAACAAAAACTTTTATTTGGTATGCGATTAATTGCGATTAATCATTTGACAGCACTAATATATATATATATATATATATATATATATATACATACAACAAACATTTCTCTTTCAGAGAAAAATAGACAAATTTTTTTAAGACTAGTCTAAGCAGTTTATGCAACTGGCCGCAAAATTTACCCTTAAAAAAAGACTTTTGTTGATGTTACTAGCCTACCTACTTTACTTTGTTGAGTATAGATTTAGTTAGTGTATATTAATGTTTTTGTACACTTGTAACCTTTCTGTAAGTGTTCCAGTTTAGCTGTTACAGCTAATTTTAAGTTAAATTAATAGTCTGTTTAATGTAATCAGGTTGTTTTTAGTCCTATTAAATAATGTTTTTGATTTGAATAAAATCAGTTAATGTACATTTTTAAATGAGATATTATTATTTTATATTTTTAATATATATATTTTATATATATAAGATTTTTTCCCGGTTATTATTTATATAAGAATTTGTATCATGTAGGATCCTGAAAAATAAATGTGTAATTCTAATGAAAGCCTGTTAAACCCACAAATCTCATAATACTGAAGATGTTTTGAATAGATATCATTGTGTTATAAAAATATATGAGAACAAATATCAGGAGACCATTTATGAACATTATTTAATTGATTGATCACAATTATTAAGTTATTTTGGTTATTATACAATTGTTGAGTTGAGCAGCTGTTGAACTATTTACTATATAAACTTATATAAAAAACTAAATTATATACGAAATATAGAAGTTATTCAACAATTTAGTGTACATTTCACATCCATTGATGATAATTATATATTTTATCTAACAAGTTTCTCCAGAAACAATATTTTATCTGTTGATTCGAAGCATATTATCATCTCACACAAATATTATGTGCACCATTTCAGTTTCCTTGAAATTGCCTTGACGTCCCTTAAATTAGAGTTTTTGCAATGTTCATTTTTTAAGTGAGTTCAAAATAATGAATAAAAGTGGTTAAAGCAAAATTGATCTATATTCTGCATTTCTCCTCCATATGTGTGTGTGCATCAGATGTCAGAGGTGACTGAGGGCTGAAGAAAGTGAGCAGAATGGGTTATTCAGCTGCAATAAAGTTCCTCAAGTAATGCTGGGAGACAGGAGAGCTGTATGTCTGCAGAGTAACACATGCCAAGATCCCATACGCCAGGCAATCCTGATGCTTCCCAGTAGGTCCTGCTCTCTCCTGGGAATGAAGCCATATCTGAGTCCCCTATGACAGGTAGGAGTCGCATGCATCATTTATTTATGAATGTAAAATCGCGCTCCCTTTGGGGCAGTGAACATCTGGCACCGTGCTGTTCTATTCCGGGAGACTCACTCCTCTCTGCTCATGCAAATAGACTTTCACTTCTGGTTTTCTGTGCACAGGTTCATTGGTTAAATGCATTGGACTGAAACAAGATATGTTGGTTTTTTGTTTTCATTTTTTATTTATTTATTTAGACTTTTAATACACTTGAGTTGTTTTTCATCATGACATTTTTATTGGAGCACATTGTCACATCTTTCAAGTGGTCTTTTAATGCAGTATATTAATTGCATAATTATTAAACACAAATATTATATATATATATATATATATATATATATACTGTATATATAGTATTAATTATTGAACACACACGCACACATGTAACCCAGTAGCAGTCAACAATCAATCAAACTATCTAATGGTGTTAATGTGAATTAAGACTCCCACAAAGCTCATTATTCATGTTCATGTCATTTGTATCTCCTGTGAAGGATCCCACTCATATACTGCCACTAGATGGCTGTACAATACAGAATTCCACAGCTTCTATCTCCATGGACCACACATTTGACATCTTTCTATAATGGAAACATTTGCAATTTTTTGTCATCAGACAGACACAAAGATGCTCTAACTTCACTTTCAGCCACTTTTCATTTTAACTCTGGTTAAAAATAATTTCCCTTCCATCTACCTTTCTAACAATATCGAAACTAGAATTGCCAAACTAAATATTTTATTTCAGAGTGTGGATTTTTTTTAGGCTGACTACACTCCTGTGTTTGTCCTAGTTTTAGTTTTTCTTTTCATCACTTATTTTTTATCTCCGTCAAGAAAAGTTGATTTCTAACTTCTCTTATTACCTGTATTACCACTAGGTGGCCTCAGTAAACTTCCAAGAGTGATGTCTTAAAATATCTTAAAATGATGCAATTTTTATCAATATTTTAAAAGCTAAAATTATGGAATATTTTTAGATATTAAAGGAACATTTTAATATATTAAAATTAATTAATTAGAAGCCTTAGCGAGCATACGAGACTTCTTTCATTAAAAAAAATCTTACAGACTTACAAAAAATTTTTTATATAACCTTTATATAATGTTATGAAGAATGTCCACAGTAAAAAAAAAAAAGAGAGAACTTCCACTGCATTACAGCTTTCTTATGTGTTGAAATCCCTAGATTCTGTTGGTTAAAGCACTTTGAAAAAAGCACCCTTTTTTCATTATTTTCAACAAAACTACAAGAGGAAAAATCACAGTCTGTGTAGGGGGCTTTCGAAAATCGACTTTGACAAAGGGAGACCTTGCAGTTATAAAGTTTGAGAGCCACTGATCTAGAGCGGTCTAAACTGTCACAGCTCCAGGCTACATTGGCCAGCATGTAATCATTTAATTTTCCAAGCAAAATAGCCTTTGGGCTGAACTTCATTTCAATATTCATTGTACAGGTACAGCAAGGTAAGTTTGTCACTGGATTTTCTTTTCTAGTTACAAGCAAATTTCCAATCTTTTTTTCAGGCAACAGTGATGAAGAGGTGAAGATATGAGCTGTGATAGCGACAATTGCTTTTCCCTCCTTTCCTGTTTAACTTTTTTTTTTTCATACATGTCATTTCAAAAATTACATTGTCATGCATAATTTTGCATGTTTAATTCAGAGCTGCTTCTCTAGAGCTCTGAATACTTCAGCTGAAATGGTTTCTTTTGTTTATTTGCCTTTTTTCTTCAAATGGCACGTACTAAAATAGCTGGTGGATAAACAATATTATTCTTGGAAATGGAAAAAAAGGAGGAGAAAATGAAATTTCACCTGTTTATTATGTTCTCAAACTCGTTTAAGAAGCTTCCTGGAGACAAAACAGCAAAACAGTCGATTTGAAAGCCTTAAATGTTCTCAGAGTGCAAAATCAATAAACGCATCTAAAAGCATTTACCTTAGACCTTATATGTCTGAAACAAACATCCAAACAATGTGCACCATTCCGCATTAATGTCAGTTTTAGCTATGACCAAATCTGCCATCGTAATGTCTCAACCCATATGATGGCAAATTCACGGTCTCCCTGAAATGGCTTTCAAAATGCCATTGCAGGCATTAAGGCACTTCAATTCATGCAGGAGAGCTGCTTTACTGTCATCAGAATCCTGAGAGAGCAGTTTGAGAGGTGGAGATAAGACAGGATACTGTACACAGGCCACAGAAAATGTCTCGCTCCACTCCTCTTCTTTATGGGAACTGTAAATCCTGAGTGCCTGCAACATAGATGCTTCCCTCATTCATTTTCAAGGAGTTATCTTGCCATATGAAGATTTCATACTCTTATGTTTGTCTGACATTACCTTAAAGATTTGTTATTTCATAAAATACAGTTAAATATGTTATATTAGACCAATCAGTTGCTGCATCCAGTGGTCTGTCATTTCCTAATATTCATTGTTGTTCATGGCAATGCATTAGAGCGTGAAACGGGCGCTACTTTCATGTTACTCGTATCACACTGACTTGTATGGAAGCTTGTTTCAGCCACAGAATAAAAAAAAAAAAATAGAAAAAAGACAAAAAAAATGTTTTATCTCACAATTGAGTTTACATCGTGCAGTTCTCACTTCTTTAATCAGAATTCTGAGTTTACATCTCACAAATTCTGTTTTTTTTGTTTCCACCACGAATTTAAAAAATAAAGATAATTGTGACTTTTTATCTTACAATTTTAACTTTTTGCAGTTGCGAGTTTATATCTGACAATTCTAACTTTTCTTCTCAACATCTTAACTAGACTTTTTTATTATTAGAATTGCACGTTTATATCTTGCAATTGCAAGTTCTAAAATCATAATTGGAATGATACATACTGCATTTCTGACTTTTTTTTCTCAGAATTCTGAGTTTACATTTCGCAATTAGTTTTTTTGTATTCCACTGAATAACAAAATTAAAAAGATAATTGCGAGTTGTCTCACAATTCTGATTGCGAAATATAAATTCACAATTCTGAGTTCATATTTCACAATTATGAAAAAGACGCCATTACCTTTTTTATTTATTTTATTTTTTTGTTTTATTCTGTGGCAGAAACAAGCTTCTATAGACTCGCTCTTTCTCTTTCAAACAAACAAAGTTGCCGCCATCTTGCAACTTAGTTAGCCTATGTATTATCATGAAAATGGCCTCCCTGAAATTACTTCAGTATTAATATTATTATGTTGCAGTGTTCATCTTGTTGCTAGGACAATTGTTTTGGACATTGTAATGGACGTTTTTTTTAGTGTAAACTTGGTGATATACACGTAAAAATAACAAAGTATTTCATCACCACATTAATTTATATAGCTATTAATTATATTAATCACCACATACAATTCGCATTTAAACCAAGCGGCTTTCTGTTGGTCAACACAGCAAATTAGTGTGACCAACTTGCAAAATTAGTAAAGGGAAATATTTTGCCCTCTAAAGGATACTCATTGTAATGACTTCATTTTGACCGCGAAAATTCGCTAAACAACAGTAAATGTGACCGCGCGTTTAAGAACGCTGTCATGCGCGAGAAGCTAGCAACAGTCAAATATGTCCGCCTAGCACGTTTTAATAGAACAGCAATGGAAAAGCAAAGCAGTGAAATGCAAATATGCATTCAGAGGGTCTTTATGGCATAATATCCTCTTTTTCTCCTCAGTTTGTTTCACTCAGAAGTATGTCGCGTTATGAAAGTATAAGTACTTGCGAATGACTTTAAATACTTTGGGATGGGAGTGTTGAATCGTGAAAACGTGCGTTGTTTGATTATTAGTGAGATTTGTGCCTATAGCTCTTGGAAAATTATAGTTTTCAACATTTTATCTGGAGCTCAAAAAGCTCAAGCCACCAATTTATTGGCTATAGAGAGCTTTTTGATTTTCAGGGAAGACAGGTCAACTGTGAAATAGACTTACTGATAAAACCCTGCCTTTACAAATATCACACCGGGGCATTGTAGAACTTGTTTAATCTAGAACTGAAAAAATAGTCTGTTTATATGGCAAAATGTCAGGTCAGATGATTGAAAATGGTCTTGGATTTACAGTCTCAATCTCAAACTCTTTATTTTATTATTAACCAGAAGATGGCAAAGGTGAGCTGCCAGACATGTGTATGAGAGCATATGTGCATGCCTTCTTTCCTCCCATCTCTCTCCTTCTCTCTCTGTTTAGTTAGTGATCACTTGAATTTCTTAAGTCATAACATCATAACTAAATCTGGAGAAGTTGGAATCAAATCCTTAAGCCTATTAAACTTTACTCGTCCCACACCATTTGTGCTGCAAACATGAACGATGCCTCAAATTGTGCAGTTTGTTGAGGAGAGGTATGTCATTACTAGTGGGTTGTTAACTCGCATTTTCTTCAGAAAATGATTTCAGGTGTAATTTTTAGATTAAATTTTTTGATTTTAGATATTTTCTTTCAGATTTAGCTGATATGAGCCAAAGTAAGAAATAGACTCACAGTAATGATCATAATAATTATCCTATATGAAAATGACATAGGTTGTAGATTGTCTGTATTACTGATATGTATCCTGTCATAATTATATGTCTTTGATTGTGATACATCTATGATCCTCTGAGAAAATGACCAGGAGTGGTTGAAATTAGTTTATACGATAGAAATAAATCCAAAATGCACAAAAAATGGCAACATCTCTATTTAACAGTATGCACAGAAAGACAATAGACTACAAATTTGCTACGCAGAGCGATTCTTATGTTTGTCTGTGATTAGTTGCAGCCGGTACATTTTCTGAGACACAAACAGCCAATTACCACTTCATTGAGATGTATAAATGTTCATCATGCAATGCCTTCATTTAACTAGAAGTTAAACGAAGATTTAGACGTTCTCATAACAGACAAGCACACATTTGAATGGCAGTGCCGTGAATGATGTTCTTAATTAAGATTTTCATTAATGAGTCAATAATGAGCACTCTTTCCGAGTGTGTCAGAAGACACCCAGCGGGCAAATAAGAATCTGTTCATTAAGTACCGTGGTTTTATATGAGGAAGAGTTTCTCTTGATGTTAAAATAATCAATTTGTAAGCGTGCCGATTTGAAATTAGGTGGCGAAATTGTGAGCTGAGAACTTTGAACTTTTAAATGGTCGTTCTGTGAATGAAGGAAACTGTCATCATCATTTTAACTCTCATAATGTGCATTGTAAATGTCGTACAATACAAGTCTTGGTTCTTAATAAAGCAGTATAATTTTGCTAATATTTCAGAATATGGCTTGTACCAGTAATTATTGTAATACTCAATGAAAAGTTGTATGAAATGCTAATTCTTATTATACTGCTAAAGCTTTGGGTTAATGCCTTGGAATAACACCGAACTCACTGCAACACTTTACATAAGACCTAAATTAACACCTACCTACATGAATAATGGTGGAGAGGGAAAGTAGGTGAGATTGAGCCACTGTGTGCCGGGTGTGTGCTGTAATTTAATAATCATTTTATGGCTTTGATGATATTAAAAAATGTTGATCAAAGCCACAAGAATTTCAAAAATGTGTGAGTTGAAATATTTATGAGGACAAACTCTTATAGGAAGCTAGAAAAGAAAAAGGGGGTCATTGCAAACTTTTGTGTTCTGAGTGATTAGTGTGTTGCTAGGCGGTTGCTAAGATTAGATAGATATATATTTCTTCTTATTAAAGCTACAAAAGTGATTTAGTCAAGAGCAGTGAGAGATTTTCTCTGTTTTTTGTTTGATTAAAAATCAAACAAAATGCTTTTTAAATGCTCTTAAAATGACTGCTGTCATTTTAAGAGCTGCCCGGATCCAATATACTGTTGCACATGTGTGCTCTTTTTCAGCTGTGTGGCTTCACTTGCAAAGACGGGCCTTTTTACACATGAAAGTGTGTGTATTTAACCGTTCAAGGCCTATAAAGTGGCAAAAATAACTCCGCTCTATAAGCACTGTCTTGTTTTCAAACCACAATTCTTAAAAATGCGTGCAAGCGATACGTTTTCGTGACCATGTAGCGTGTGACCGCCATAGAGACGACAGTCCAAAATCTCTACCGGTTAATCGTGTCTATTGGTTTATCGCCCACCCCTAATATGTAGAACGACAGAGATAGATAGATAGATAGATAGATAGATTTTTAGGATGTTTTTTGAGTGGTTGTTATTGTGGTGCATAGGTTTTTGTAGTAGTTTCTAAACAGCTCATTCACAAGTTTTTATGATATTCTGTTTTTTTGTGTGTATTTTATCATCTAACAGGTGAAAATTGATTGCTGAGAGCTTAGAAAAGTAAAAGCTCTGTTTGAAGTAAACAAACTTGGGTTTGGGGTTTTACAGGCCGTTTGTAACTACCAAACAAGGTCATGCGCTATATTCTGCATTATATCTCTAATAACAATAGAGGGCTGTTAGATAAATACTCCACATCACTAATAATACATTATACAACATTTCCCCCCACAAACAGCTTGAGTAATGCACTGTGATGAATTGTGCTTTTGAAAAATTCAAAGTTTGTTCTTAGATCTCCAAAAAGACGCTCAAATCTCTTTTTCTGTTTCCTCTCTAGGTTTTCCCGCAGTCAGTCAACAATCTACACCTTCTCACAGAGCTTCAACACATTAAAGACCAGACCTGAATTCCCAGGTTCAAGGCTGTTTCTGGCTATTTTAATGCCATATAGGTGGACTGTTTCCCTTGTTGGCATCTCCTTAACAGGCAACCATCTAGTTTGGCTAGAAACGGCCCTGTCTGGGGTGAAAATCTTAATTAAAATCTTCTAATCGGCACAATCTGCCACAGCCTGCACCTCTTGCATTGGCATTTCGCTTGACATCCAAAACTTACAGAACTGCAGCTCTGAGCAGTTAATGCTGAATACCAAATCGCCTCTTTGTCTCCGTAGCTGTGCTTTAGACATTAAAAAAAGTGAGGAATATCGATTACGCTGTCGCTCGTGTGAAGGGGGACAGGTCCTTTCCTGATTAATTTGTAGGAAAATGCACCTTGTGGCTCCTCCCTTGACACAGTGTTTATTCAGCAGAAATAATTGGTAATAGCTGAAAGATAACGTGAGCAGAATGGTCATATTTCTGCCTGTGCCGGTAACGTCTCATGCATTTTTATGCAGTACAGCAGCAGTATTAGAACCGATAATGTTCAGTAATTAAAGCTGCATGAGTGGGTGAAATGGAGCCTGTACTGAAACTCATTGCTTATTTTGTATAGTGCAGTGGTGCTTATTTCAGTTGGCGGACCATTAAAAAAAAAAAAGTGACCACCAAACACCCCAAATCTCCTTTGTTCATATTTCATTGCAATTCACTAAACTGCACTTCAATTTGCAATTCAAATTTGAATATAAGCATGTACAATCTAAATGAATTGTAAATCAAAGAAATTATTTAACTAGAAATGTTAACTAGAAAAGCAAAGTTTGTCAAAAAATGATTGATAGATAGATGGATAGATAGATAGATTTAAAATAAATGCTGTTCTTTTGAACTTGTTTCCATTCATCAAGAATCATGAAGATTATATCATGGTTAACCCAAAAAATATGGAGCTGCACAACTGTTTTCAACATTGATGACAATAAGAAATGTTTCTTGAATAGCAATCAGCATATTAGACTGATTTCTGAACGATCATGTGACACTGAAGACTGGAGTAATGACTGATGAAAATTCAGCTTTGCATGGCAGGAATAAAATTGCAGGTTTTAAATTGCAAAAATATTTTACAATATTACTGATTTTACTGTAAAATTTTGATCAAATAAATGCAGCCTTGGTGAGCATAAGAGAATTATCAACCCCAAACATCTGTAAGGTAATATAGATAGCTAGATCTATAGGTGGCTAATTTGTACAAATTTGTATGATCTCACTCATACAAATTCATATAATTTTTGCTAAATCGTACGTATTTTAAGAATTCCCCAATTCGTATGAATTCGTATGAATGACCTACCCTTAACCACGCTTCTAAACCTACACATCACTGGTGTCTACACAAATCGTACAAAATCGTACGAGTGAGGTCGTACAAATTTTGTACGAATTATCCACCTCATAACACACGTACGAATTGGTCGTGAGATAGTGTTGGGTTTAGATAGTTTTTGTCAGTAGTCAGCCCTGCTGGTAGAAGTCATAACTACACCATTATGTAGGCATAAAGCCCGTTTTCTACATTAAAGGCCATTCAAAATAAGCCGTCTCAGAAACTGAAGCAATGATGCAAAAATGATGGCATCCTAGCTTAGTGAATGCCATTGAGATGAATGGGAATGCTGATGGATAGCTCCCTCGAGGTATTTTAGATCTCCTTGGTAAAATAAGCTAATAGCTAGCTACCTAAATAAAATACATATTAGTGATTTCTTGTTGAATTTCTTAACATTAAAACGGCTAAAAACAGATATATTTGACCCATCACACCACTTTTAAAAGTAATTTGCTCGTTCCTTTAAGAAGTACTGTACATTTTCCTTTGAAACACTGTTTTGAATCTTAAAATCAAATGTTGTGGTTCATTGCTAATTTGGTTCAAGGGTTAGAACTGTTTACTGACAAAAATTCAGAAATGATTAAATAGAAAATGAATGATAAATTAAGCCTGCTTCTGAAACCCAGACTGTTTAAAAAGCATGTGGTTACTGTTGAGCTCTATCTTGTCAGTCCTTCTGGAGAAAAGATTTGTGTGATTGATGATAGTGAATTTGATTTCCTTAATTTGAATTTGATGATCAGAGTTTGAGACATTTTACCACAACAAATTACAACACAAGTACCAAACGGGGAGCAGAAAGGAGGGCGGATGTAATCCGACTCATCCCGCAGGAATCGTACTGCAGTGATGAGCCATTCTAAAATAATGTGGCTGATCCAGGCCAATTTGTTTTGAATCACTGGGATTTGACTATATACGTCTCAGTTAGTGATCCTAAAATAATGGGAGTTGTCATGGACAAAAGGAGGAGACCAAATAAATCCATGCGAATCAGGGCTGGCGCTTCAGAGCGCATCGGGGTATTTTTCCTCCTTCTGACATTAGTACAGTAAATCCAGGCCACGGCTGATGTTTACCGCTGCTGTCCGCAATTCCTGTCGGATCCATTTGTGTACACAGTGCCCTGCTGTCCCTCGAATATGTTGTTTTCTGCCATCACTTACTCAAAAGTAGATTTCTGCTACCTGCTCAAGTTACGTATAGAATGAACTAATGGAGCACAGTTCTTTGGCAGAGAGTAATTTAAAATGATAAAGTTTATTTCATCTGTTTGCTTCGAGATTACATGAATCATGTTTGTTCATTCAGGCAGGGGATTTCTAGTTCCCAGAATTGTCGTAATGGGGAGAATAAATGTTGAAATTAAGTGTTATTTTATGTGTTGAGTAGGATGAGAAAATAGGGAGACTTTTTAGTGTTGCAAATGATCTGTTATGTTGGGATTTAGAGAGTTTTTATCTTTTTTGGGAGTTACCGTTGTGGTGAATAGTGGCGCTTATGTGTTATGCTGAGTATTGGGTAATAATAATAGATTTTTTTTTAATGCTGTTCATTGAAGAATCGTTTGTGCATGTGCATTTTCAAATAATATTTTAATTGCTTTGCGAAATAATTAGAATCGATTGAAATACTGTATGCTGATGACACCTATTGGTCAAACACGTGTAGAGGCTTCAAAATAGTATGTTTGTGAAAATTACTGCCGTTTTCACTGCTAACTTTGTATGAAACATCGGTCTACGATATTTGACTCTGCAGAGAGCTTTATATATACATGGTATTTTAAAAATATTATTTCATATACACACTACCATTCAAAAGTTTGGGGTTTGTAACATTTATTTTAATGTTTTTTTTTTAAGTCTTCTATGCTCGCCAAAATGCAGTTAAAACTGTAATATTGCAAAATATTATTACAATTTAAAATAGTTTAATATTTCTTTTTTGATACTTTAAAAAATGTAATTATTTCTGTGATAAAAGTTGAATTTTCAGCATCATTACTCTAGTCTTTAGTGTCATATGATCCTTCAGGAATCATTCTAATATGCTCAAGAAATATTTCTTATTCTTAATGTTGAAAATAGTTGTGCTGCTTGTTTATTCATTCATTCAGTCAGTCAGTCAGTCCTTCATTATTTATTTATTTATTTATTGTGGAAACTTTGATGCATTTTATTTGGATTTATTAGATGCTAATTAGATTTATTAGATCTTTGCCGAATAAAAATCCTGATCTTTTGAACGGTAAATATAGAATGGATGCGTGAATAGGAGAAACAAGAGCCATTATTCTTGAAGAGAAAGTAAGAAATAAAGAAAATCATAGCTGGTTCTCAGATTTCACTACTGTTATCCATTGGTTTTCATCCTCTTGTTGTTCAGTGCTTGAATAGTCCATCAATGCAGCTATGGAAATTCAATCATCCTGGCTTTTCTTGTGAGCTTGTGAGTAATCAATCTGGATGTGGCAATGATTCTAGTCTGGCCATTTGCAGTGTGAGCAACCAGCATTTCCTTTTCCTGGGTTTTCGTCCATGTAATCCCATTCTGCCATAATCAAAACGGGATTTCATTTAATCAATGCTCTAAACCTCAGAGAGTCAATTCAGCTCCACATTTCTTTCTTTCTTTTCCTCTTTCTGAAAGTGTTCCTTTAGGATTCCGGTTCACATTCCTACAGTTATCATTTAATCTATATTTCATTTATTCCCTATCATTAATCCTCAATGCGGTTGCGTCCTGATCAATAAGGAGTTTTCTTTTCAATAGATTTAAAAGAAAATGACACCACACTCAAAGCCCACAGTGACTCTGCCATCAACATGAATGTGAAGTCCATAAGAATCACATTCAGATCAAATACAATATATACGTGATGAGAAAGAGTAGAGGTGATCCTACCTTTGTAGTGTGGATACAAAGACAATCCCCTCATAAACACCCAACAAAATTCATATCGGCATAAGTTCAAGTAAACAAGCAAAAGTTGTTTTTCTCACAAGTCGGTCGGTTTCAGTCAACACTTGAAGATTTTATGAATTTAAGTTCTTCTCAAACTCTGAAGGGTCACTAGGGATAAAAGTAGCACATGGCAGATGCAGCCTCAATAATACATTTGTGCAGTGCATTGTGGGAAATATTATTGGGCAAAATAACACGGTGGCTTCTGTTGAGCCAATACCATAAAAACACATGGATAATAACTTCACAACTAAGAGATAGATGTGATCTGTCTTTTCAGGTAAATAATAAAGAAGGAAGAAAGGAAATAAGAAAGGATTTAGTCCCAAGATGTCTCATTATTTTAGCTAGAAGGTTTGTTTTTCACCCTTTGCGATTTATATTATGACATTTACATTTCTGTCCACACTGTCAATGATAAATCAGGGGGGAAATTAATAGAGAAACACACATCACACACCCTTCAGACAGCAATTTTCAGTCTCATAGCTGAGATTTTTGAAAATATAAATTACATCTCTAGCCATGTGTGAACGATTCAAAGTATTCATTAGGCAATTGCTGCAATGACTGAGCATCATAATTATTCTGTGGCTGAATACAGATTGGTGAGTGTAATTATCATCACCTTTGACCCACAATAGCCATTGAAGATGTGACCGTTGACCTTTAATCCCTGGGGGAAATGTTTTAGAAGTACTGAATTATATATGGAGTGATTCACATTAATTAGTGCCAAAAGTAATGCATAGAATAGTTCATGCATTCATTTTCCAGTTTGAACTAAAGGACAGACTGTTTGGACTCAATCTGAATGTCTAATGTGGCATCCATCTAATATTTCACTCATTAGTGTTCATCGGTTATTAGATGCACTATGTGTCCAGACAGTGATGAAACAGCTCAAATGCTATTTCAGCCATAATAATTTGTTTATTAAACTAAAAGGCCATCAATTAGGTTTAATCAAAGGCAGCACACAGGGGAAATTATTATATGTAGCCGTTTTAAAGGAATATTTCTCCCCCAAATTCATATGTGCTGAAAATGTACTCACCTTCAGGTCATATTGTATAGATACCGAGTTTGTTTCTTCATCAGAACAGATTTGAAGTTTACATTACATCACTTGCTCACCAATGGATCCTCTGCAGTGAATGGCTGCCGTCAGAATGAGAGTCCAAACAGCTGATAAAAACATCACAATAATCCACACCACTCCAGTCTATCAGTTAATGTCTTGTGAAGTGAAAAGCTATGTGTTTGTTAGAAACAAATCCATTAATAAACTATTTTAACTTTAAA